GGGGGGGGGGGGGGGGGGGGTCTCGATAGTCCAAAGGTTCTTTGGTCCGAAGTTTCATTGGTCCGAAAAGTGTTAACATTTTCATTGGTTTTTTAATCAAGCTTCAGTTCATTGGTCTGAAGGTTCCATAGTGAACATTCGGACCATTGACTGTTGCTACGGCCCTGGGCCACAAGATTGTGCAATATGGGAAATTCTAAATGATAGAGAGCATTCAGATCAAGAAGAGCGGAGGTCTAGCATAGTGTTGTATGTTATAAAACATACAGGGTATGCAGTTGACATTCTAACATTGGGGACATGGTACTGTATATAATATAACAATATAATTCATTTTGCTGCCCTTTGCTGACTTGTAAAATAATTCAGTTTAATGTGTACGGGGGTACAGTCATTAAATCTCGGCTCCATTGGGACGACACATAGGGTGGGGGCGTGTGAGAGGCGGAGAGACTATTAAAAGATTAGGCAGATTTCCTTTTATGTATGTCTGCCATATTTAGGTTGTGGCTTTGTAGAGCCATGGCTAAACTCGATGTGAATGCGGCCTAACTTCCTCACCATTTTAAAGGTACATATTAACTGAGCATCGGTGGAGCAGGGATTCCCAGTAACACATGTAAACCACTTGTACTAGATTCTTATATGACTCAAATAAATTTGACATGCCAAGGGATAAACTGAATAGATCACTCGATCAGCCATAAAAGGCCTTTAGACTACTCCTTTCTTTAAATTTTTGGTTGTAAATTTAACCTACTTCCGTGACCTACTTTCCTGCCCCATTGACATACAGCTTAGAATGGCAGCAGAAAAATCTGTTCAAACATCATTTTTGGGTAAAATTAAACAATGCCTTTTGGTAATTCTCTTAGCATTCTCTTTATGCTTGCATTTGGTTGGTTTTTGTGACAAAAAATTGACTTTGTATGCATCTTTAAAGAGAATCCAACCCAGGCATGTAAATTTCCCAACCCATCATTTCCCCAAAATTTCGTCTTTGAAAATATAGGCCATTGCCAGTTAGCCTTAGGATAGCCCCTGGCCTCTCTGAGAAATGACATGATTTTAAGACATTCCTTTGAAATTCTAAAGACGAAGAGCGCATTCTCAATGAATTAAGCCAGGCTTTACAAAGCCGGTGACCTAAAAATGGCGGACGTACATGAAAGAAAAACCGCCTAATCTTTTAATAGTCTCTCCGCCTCCCCACACGTCGTACCTGCGGGGTACAGTAATTAAATCGCGTCTCCGTTCGCCATGCGGAAGCTACCTGAGAAATATTAAGTGCGCATGCTCATCAGTTAAACTCGTGGTGAAGAAAGCATGGCGGCTGAAGGCGCTCGAAGGAAAAAAGCTCTTCTGTTCTATTATCTTTGAAAACAGAGACGAAAAAGGACTAATTTGGCCCGTGTAGCAGCAATGAATCGACTATCTACGGAGATAATATCACCAGAGATATTCACGGAAATATTAATGTTCGGAGCCGAGATTTAATTACTGTCCCCCGCAGGGACGACGTGTGGGGAGGCGTGTGAGAGGCGGAGAGACTATTAAAAGATTAGGCGGTTTTTCTTTCATGTACGTCCGCCATTTTTAGGTCACCGGCTTTGTAAAGCCTGGCTTAATTCGTTGAGAATGCGCTCTAAGCTAAAGTTTGATGCCCCATACGCATCCTTTATACTATCATTAGGCTATGGAATTGGATTCACTGCTGAAATAAAACTTGATTTACCATTGACTGATTTACCATTGACAAGTTACGAGAGCATGATTGAGGTATCAAGTATTATTTTGCCTCGTAGAAACTTTTTTGTAAATTGATGAGGGGTCAAATTACCTTGAGGTCCAACTAGCTCTGGTCTCCCCTGCAGTGTATCAGGTTGCAACAATTTTCTGTTTACCATTTGAAATGAATATATTTCTATTTCTTTATTATTCTTTTATTATATTTAGGTAAGCCATGGCTGCCAGCAGGTCTAGATCTGTACCAGACAGCTATCACTTTACAGTGGTATATGATGGATGTTTATCTGGGGACGACAAGACTGACTCCACCAAATTATCCTATGAGTTTGCGGAAAAACTTCAAGAAAAAGCTGAAAAACGAGGCATTCTTTGCTTTCTTCCACACCAGATGATAGATTTAGGAAAGTTAGATATGCGAGAACTTTATTCTGCCGTGCAAAATTCTGATCATGTCATACTTGTTATGACTGAAGGTTATTTAGGAAAAATGTGCAGTAAAAAACAACGAGATAGCCAGAATGATCCAGATTGGATGTTGCAGCAAATCCATTATAACATAATAGACTACAAAATTTCTGATAACGCTGATGGGGTTATCGTAGTGCCTATTTATCTGCAAACACGTAAGAAGGAAATTTCCCTTGGTGCCTACAGATCCATACAGTTCAGAAAAAAAGAAGATTGGGAAGATGAAGAAAATTGGGAGAAAATCTGGAAACTCATTCCAAAAGGTACAGCATAGTACTTGTATTTGCCATGGCAATTTTTGTCACATCATTAAACTAGAGGTACTTATATATACCGGTATATGGTATTAACTCAATCTTTACAATGCAGATATCAGTCTTCTAGTTACAGTGCTTGATTTTGGAATCATTTCAATTAAATTTCTGTACAGTATTTATGATGTTTTGACTGTATAGAATACAACTGTAGGATACCCTGCTTTCAATTTTGTACAGTACTACCACTCAATAAGAATATTCTTAATTTAAGAAATCATGCCTTAAGAATTTTTCCTATTGTAAAGATCTAGTCATTGCCATAATAGCTTGTGTTCAAAACAAAATCTCATTTAAGTTTTTAATGTGTGCAAATGAATGTAGAAATTATTGGAAAAGAAGAGTTCATACCATTAACACTGCCACCCCCTCTCCCAAATTTCGGTGCCCTTCTGTGGGTAAAATCCTGCTCTCTTATTTTATTATCAGGTCTACAGCCATCAGTGTTGACTGGGTCTGCAGTATCTTCTCCAGGGTCCAGTGTGCCAGATGCTGGGAAATCAGGTAACAGAAAAAATGTGTCATTTTTAGGACTATAAGTATGCAGGACTTCAAGCTACAAATGATGTCCAATGTGCTCTCTTTTTATTCAATTGTGAAACATTCAAAATTGTACTGCAGAGATGGAATATTTCACAGCAAATGCTGTCTTTATCTACTTGTATATATGCAAATACAATGCTCATATATATAAATTTTTAATAAAGCTGTCTAATAAAATTATGATTTACTGAAATATCTGAGGGCACAAAAGGAATGACTGGGTTCCCATTAACCTATTGATAATTGTACTAGCAGGATCTGTAGAGATTCTTGCCCAATTGCATTCATTTTAAGCAGCTTAAATGTCTGGCACACCAAATGAAGCTGCTAGGGGGGTATTTAACTTTTGTGCACACTAAAACTGAATGCTATTTAGCAAGAAACTCCTCAGAGATAGATCAATCCTGCTTGTTGGATAGGGTTATGGAAATGGTCCCATAGACAGAGCTTCATCTGATGACAAATATATTTTCTAGCTCAAAATGATTCCAACCAGGGAGTGAGAAGCCAAGAACCTGCTGCTGCTGCTGCTGTAAGGGAGACTGTCACTGAAACCGCTGAAAATCCCCAGGAGTCGATGCAGTTTGAATCACTGACATCAGGTTTGTATAACAATATGTATTGTGTGTTGTAATGAATGATTAGAGAATACATTTTGTCATGTTTTAATAATAATAATAATAATAATTATTATTATTATTATTATTATTATAAGCTGTAGTATATAGTCTGGAAAGGGATACTTCTCCGAAAATCTGTTACACGTGTGTCCCTTAATATGCTGAAAGTAACCATGTATGCAGTGTAAAGTGTGGGTATTTTTAAATTCCACAGACGCCAGAGTAAGTGCCGAAGAGACAGCAGGGTCTTCAACTGCTGATAGTAAGACAGATGCCCGTCAGAGGTCTGAGTCAATTGACAATGAAAACAGAGGTTCTCGAGATCACCATCCAGGATCTCCGCCATGTGCAAACATGGATTCCAGTCCCAGTGGTGCAAGGAGTAAGTTTTTTTTTTCATCATAATTGGTGCAGTGTTCTGTACTGCAACAGTTTGAGTCACTGGCATCTTAATAGCCTGATTATTGTGTTAGAGTTACCTAAAAGCACTGTAGTGGATTTGGGTGTGGGTGTGGGTGTGTCAGAGGGGTTTTGACTCCCCACCCCCACCCCCCATTTTCTGTTTCTTTGTACTGTAAGAGTATTTGCCATGGGAATTTATATCACATCATTTAACTAAAGGTGCATGTATATATGGCATTGTCTCAATCTTTTCAATGAACATATCAGTCTTCTAGTTACATATGATTTTGGAATCATTTATATCAATTAAATTTCTGTACAGAATTAATGGTATTTTGACTGTATAGAATACAACTGTAGGGTACCCTGTTTTCTATTTTATGCCACCACTCAGTAAGAATATTGTTACTTTAATTTAAGAAATTATGTCTTAAAAATTTTTCCAATTGCAAATTAAGATCAAGTCATTGCCATAAAAGCTGGTGTTCAAAACAAAATCTCCTTTAAGGTTTTAATGTGTGCAATTGAATGTAGAAATTATTGGAAAAGAAGGGTTCATACCATTAACACTGCCACCCCTTTCCCCAAAATTTTGGTGCCCTTCTGTGGGGAAAATCCTTGATATGTTAAACCTAGGACCTCAAACATTTATCTTCTATCCTAGATTAAACTTACTGTAATTATAATAATTATATTTGTTTGAGAAGTGTCTCAGAAAAATAAAGAGACAGCTGACTAGTATGATGTGCTTATTATGTAGAATACTAGATAAGTTTTAAATTTTAAATGGCTGAAAAATAAAAATCCAGTTTGATGAATTACTTTCTTATCAGATCTTCAACCATCTGCGTTGACTGGGTCTGCAGTATCTTCTCCAGAGTCTAGTGAACCAGATGCTGGGGAATCAGGTAACAGAAAAATACATCATCCTACATGCATGCTGTCATTTATTGTAAGGTTTTCACATGACTTTTAAACCTATTTGTGTGTGTGTGTGTGTGTGTGTGTGTGTTATACTTTGAGAAATGTCTCAGAAAAGATAAAGAGACAGCTGAGTAGTATGACTTGCATGTACATGTTAAATACTTTTGTATAATTTCATAAATTGCCATGTCTAGAGGCATCAGCAGCGTTGACTGGGTCTGCAGTATCTTCTCCAGGGTCCAGTGAGCCAGATGTCGGGGAGTCAGGTAACCGAAAAAATAGGGCATTTTTAGGACTATAAGTATACAGGACTTCATGCTTCATATGATGACCAGTGTGTTCTCTTTTTAATCAATTGTGAAACATTTCACAGCAAATATATGGTTTTTTATGTACAGACACAGATGTGTTTGTACATATAGCCATCATCTGCGTCTGTCGTCGCCGTCGTCGCCGTCGCCGTCGCCGTGCACTTTTACCGATAACACGATAAATGGAAAACTGTTTTTTCTTTTGGTATGAAACTTACAGAACTGATGAATATTCATAATAGGCAGGTCAAGTTCGAAAATCAGCATGATCGGGTCACTTTTAGGGAATTTATGCTGTTTTTTCACTTTTTATGTACAGACACAGATGTGTCTGTACATATTGCCATCACCTGCGTCTGTCGTCGCCGTTCATGTCGCCGTCGATGTCGCCGTCGCCATCGCCGTCGCCGTGCACTTTCAGCGTTAACACCATAAGTGGAAGACAGTTTTACTTTTTGGCTTTATATTTACAGAGCTGATGAATATTCATAAAACGCAGGTCAAGTTCGAAAATCAGCATGATCGGGCCATTATT